GGGATGCAAAGGAATAATTTATGTACACATGCACATGTGTGTATGCTACATTTTTATTTTGATTCTTTACAGATTTATTTTTTTTATTTGAAAGCATTAAAGAGGGAGGCACACAAATACACACAGGGCAAGAGTGAGTGTGAGAGCAAGAGAGAGTCTTCCTTTGTTGATTCACTCCCCTGATGGCTGCCGTGGCCAGGGCTGGGCTAGCCTGAACTCAGGAGCCTGGCACTCCACCTAGGTGTCCCATAGCAGAGGCAGGGGCATAAGCCTTGGGCCATCTTCCTCTACTTTCCCAAGTGCATTATCTGGGACCTGGCTTGGAACTTGCCCATCTGTGCATTACAGTCCAGGAAGCTTGAATGTTCATTCAATCATTTTTACTTATTTGAAAGAGTAAGTAGGGCCCAACATGATGACTCAGTGGCTAAAGTTCTCATCTTGCATGCACCGGGATGCCATAGGGGTGCTGGTTCATGTCCCAGCTGCTGCACTTCCCATCCAGGTCCCTGCTTGCAGCCTGAGAAAACAGTGGAGCATGGTCCAAAGCCTTGGGATCCTGAATATGCATAGGAGATCTGGAAGAAGCTCTTGGCTCCTGGCTTCTGATTGACCCAGCACTGGAGCATTCTGGTCATTTGGGGAATGAACTAGAGGATTGGAGATCTTCTGTCTTTCCTCTCCATAAATCTGATCTGCCTTCCCAATAAAAGTAGATTCTCATTTAAAACGAAAGGAAGAAAGTAATGAAGAGAGACGGATGTCTTTCATCTACTGATGCACTCTCCAAATGCCTGCCAAAGCCAGGGCTGGGACAGAGCCGAGAGCTCCTTCCAAGTCTCCCATACTGAGGGCAGGAATTCAAGTACTTGAACCAACAACTGCTTCCTCCCAGGGGCACCAGCAGGAAACTGAATCAGAAGTGAAGCAGCCAGGATTCCAATCTGGACTGTGGGTATTTAAAGTAGTGGCTTAACTCACTATGCTACAGTTCCCACTCCTAGATTGAATATTTTAAAAAAGATTTATTTACGCACACATCTATTTATTTGCTTGAAAGGCAGAGTTACAAAAAGGGAGAAAGCGAGAGAAATCTTCCATCCACTGGTTCACTCCCTGAATGTAATGACCAGGGCTGGGTCAGGCAGCCAGGAGTCTGGAGAGCCATCCTGGCCTTCCAGAAGGGTGACAGAGGACCAGGCATGCAGGTCATTCCCCAGGGCTCTGCAGGGCACACCAGCAGGGAGCTAGGTAGGAGGAAGTGGGGCATATGCAACTTAAACCTGATGGGTTGCTAGCACCACAGACACTGGCCAGCCCCTTGAATATTTTTAACTATTGTTTTATTCTGATTTTTTTTTTTAGAATTAGCTATCTGTGTATGGTGAATAATATACAAGATAATCACTAGAGCAGAGAACAAATCTCCATTATCAATAGGTAAACTCGGGCCAGGCAAGATGGCTCAGTGGCTAAATCCTCACCTTGCATGTGCCAGGATCCCATATGGGTGACGGTTTGTGTCATGGCCAGTCCGCTTCCTATCCAGCTCCCTGCTTATGGCCTGGTGAGGCAGCAGAGGAAGGCCCAAAGCCTTGGGACTCTGCACCTGTGTGGGAAACCCAGAAGAAGCCCCTGGCTCCTGCCTTCAGATTGGCTCAGCTCTATTACCGTTTCCACTGGTTTTCACTTTCATTGATTGATTTGAAAGGTGAGGAAAAGAGAGAGATCTTCCATTGGCTGGTTTCACTCCCCAAAGGCCCTTAATGGGTGTGGCTGGATCAGGCCTCAGCCAGGAATCTGAAACTCAGCCCACATCTCCCACAGGGATGGTGTGCATTTTTAGCAGGAAGCTGGATAAAAGCAGAGCTTAAACTTGGACCCAGCATTGCTAGCATCAGGGTAAAGGCTGTGCCAACCACTCCCATCAGTGTTCATACAGCCGGTGCCCCCAGGGCCAGAGCCAGGTACCACCAACCCGCTGGGTCTGCAGAGAAAGCAGGGGCAGCTGAAGAGCAGGACCAGGCCTTCCCTCATCTTGGCTGAGAGCTGGAGACCAGGAGGAATCTGTGGGAATCGCCCAGCCCGGCCCTAAGGGGCTTAAAGTTCAACTTCCCTCTAAGTCCTTTACAGAGGAAAATATAGATGATACAGAGTGGGCCTTTGCTGGGCCTGTTCAAGGGAAGAATGACTTGGTTTAGGAACCCAACCCACTTGAGAAACTGCACTTAATCCTTGGTTGGCCTGGCACGCAGCAGGAGGACCTACAGGGGCCAGCATGCTACATGCAGCTTAAGCAGCAAGAGGGGTTCGTGGGGACCCAGCTCTGCATGACCCAGTACAAGCCTTTCAGGGGGCCCATGGTGGTTAGTGTGGGGAGCTCAGACACCTGGGGCCCAGTTCCCACAACGGCAAGCTGAGTTTGCTGTCAGTTGGCATTGTTCTTTCCCCCTCTTGTTTGGTGAAGTAGGACTACGAGCAAGTTCTCAACTTATCGCCTCTACGTCCACATCTCGGAAATGGGCAGCACATCCGTGGACACTGTGCTAGCTTGTAAACGTGCGCTGTTGGAGTTTGCAACAGCACAGTGAAAGAAAGTCTGGTCTGAGGACTCCCCACCATCCCACAAAAGAACATCTTTCAATTCCATCTTTTTAAAAAGATTTAGTTTGCTTGGAAAGTCAAAGTTACAGGAGAGAGAGATGGAGAGACAGAGATCTGCTAGTTCACTCTGCAAATAGCCACCATGGTCTGAGCTGAGCTTGCTGATGTGACACCAGGAGCCAGGAGCTTCTTCTGGGTCTCCCACACGGGGACACAGGGTCCCAAGGCTTTGGGCCGTCCTCGACTGCTTTCCCAAGCCACAAGCAGGGAGCTGGATGGGAAGTAGACTAGCTGGGACACAAACTGGCACCTACTGAGGGATGCCAGTGCTGGCAGGAGGAACATTAGTCTGTTTTGCCACTTCGCCAGCCCTCTCAGTTCCATTTCTTTCTTGGAAGGAGAGAGGGTGTCCATTTGCACTGGGCTGCTAGGATTCCCCAGCCCTGACCTGGAGTAAGAAGTCTATGGAGATTTGTTTTTTTAAAGGAATATTTCTGGAACATGCTCAACATCAATGCAGTGAGCCAAAGCCTTCAGGAACACTCCTGTATTTCAGCTCCACAGCTACTGTGGCCTTTTGCTATTGCAAATATTGTGGTTCTCATTTTAGGCACTCAGAACCCCAGAAACATTAAGGACCCTGCCTTATCGCCTAGGGGATGGGACTATAGAACTACCAGGAGGCTGCTCATACCACCCAGATTTTTTACCATGTGCCCCAAACTGGAGCGCAATTCAGGATCGTCCGGAGGCCTGGTTAGAACAAATCACCACCACATCAAATACCGCTGGAGTTTTCATTCTGCAGGTCCCAGAGACGAACGCATTGCCACCCCCACCCCAGTCCCACCCCCACGTGCACATTCCCCAAGGAGTCGCCAGGCAGCGATGGTGCCGGCCCCAGCACCAGGCTCTGAGAACAACTGTGCTGGGCTGGGGTCCAGCTCTTCTCCCTACTCCACCCAGGCAAAGGGAGCGAAGTCACACCCTGCCCACAATGGCCACTGTTGTTGAGATGCCAGTGAGATAATGGGAGTGAAAGAGCTTCGTCAGCAGCATAGGTGAATGGCCTGGTCATTCACCAGGGAACCTGCCTGAGGCTGATTCCTTGAAACCGAGAGCATTGGGAGGGCACCCAGGGAAGGTGGGGGGGGTGGGTTGGTTGGAGTCTTCTCTTGCCGCCCTAATTCTGGACCAATCACGCAGGCAGAAGGAGAAGCAAGCACCTGAGGGCTCCAGCAGCTCCTGGCTCCCCAGCAGCTGGCTGGCCAGGGCCATTTCTGCAGGGACCTGTCCAGGCAGGCTGGGACAGCGGCAAGCCTGATTTCAGGGCCTTGGGGCTCACCACCGCCTCCAGAGTGAGACTCAGGACCGACTGTGGCTTCCCATCTCCAAGCCTCAGGGGGCACGGCAGGGAAATGGGTGCAGCCAGAGCACCCGGGAGTTCTGGGAATCCAAAGGCCAGGGTTCTGACAACGCTTGGCGCCCAGCCTTGGCCCCTGGCAAGAGTTCAATCAGCCGTAGCTCAGCTCTGCCCGCCTCCTGATCGAGGCCTCTGCTTGGAACGCAGACCGCTCCCACGCCGTGGCCTGGCTGCACCCGTCCTGGAATGCCAGTGTGGGGACGGACCCAGGCCCGGCCGCCTGAGCTGGGGCCGAAGCACTAGGAAGGAGCAGGGACCAGGGCCAGGACTCCAGGGAGGCCCGCGGCGGGGACGCCACGGCGGCTGGCACGGTGGGCGGGGCCGAGGGTGGGCGGGGCCTGGCGAGGGCGGGCAGGAACGAGGGGGCGGGGCCGAGGAGGAGGGGCGGGACCTGGCGAGGATGAGAGGGGCCGAGGAGGGGCGGGGTCTGGAGAGGATTAACTGAACCGGACGGGGAGGGGCGGGGCCGAGGGGGTGGGCGGGGCCTGTAGAAGAGGAGCTGGGCTGGGGAGGGGCGGGGCCGTTGAGGAAGCAGGGCGCTGATAGGCAGAGATAGGGGCGGGGCCCGGGGAGATTGCAGGAGGCGGGCGACGGCTTCTGAGCGACTAGGAGGCGTGGCCGGACGGAAGGGATGTGAGGGCCAAGCGGGACAGAAGGGGGTGTGGCCTCAGGGAAGTGGGTGTGGCCGCAGGAAGGGGTGTAGCCTCTCCACCCTCCGGGCTGGTCCGGTCAGAGTCCACGGGGGGCGAAGCCTGTCCTCGCCGGGGCGGGGCTAGAGGCGGGGCCTCTGGGGGCGGGGCCTGGCCCAGGCAGTTGAGTTTCCCGACCGCTGCCGGGGGGCAGGGGAGTCGCGGCGTCGCCGAGCCGAGGGCTGAGCTGTCTGCAGCTGGCTGGGGCGCGAGCAGGGTCGCCCGGCTTGCATCGGGGAGGAAGAACACAGAGCCGGCAGGTGAGCCTGGGCTGGTGGGAGGAGGTCGGCCGGACGAGCTCAAGCCAAGTTTGCTTTCGGTTGCACTTTGCCAAGCCGGTTCGAGCCACCTTTCCGGGAACAAGTGACAGGTCCCTGCAGCTCAGTCTCCGACCTCTCCGGGCCCCGCCCGGCTCTGCCCCTCTAGGGTTCCAGAAGGGGGAAGTTGGACCAGGTGAGCTACCGGAGTGTTATCATTAAAACCCGGAGAGACGGGAACCGGCCGGGGGGCGGAGGGGAGAGCAGCTCAGCCACAGGTGTGCGATCCTGCTGCCTGACTGCAGTTTCCTCCTTGTGAGACAGGACTCCGGGAGCGGGTGGTTTTAAAGGTCAAAGGGGGTTCTTGAGGAAGGGTTCGAGCCCGGGACGCGCAGTCCAAACAAAGCAGGCGAGAAGTTTCGGTTCTTCCAACTCTTGTGGTCTCCCTTCACTGAGAGCCCCAACTAGCCAGGCCTCCCGAAGTCCGGCCAGAAACTTTAGCAGGGCTTTGCAGGTGAGCCAGCTGGGTGGAGTGGAAGGGTGAGTGGTGCAGAGTAGGGAAAACTCTGCCAGTCTTTGGGCCCAGCGTCAAACCCAAGGCCCCAGGGCTCTTGCGACACGCCCTGGGTATGGTTTCTTGAGCTGGAAGGTTCTGGCCTCAGGGGTGGTGGGTGACCTGTGCTGGACCACAGGAGCTAGAGAGCCTAGACCAGTGGTCAATGGTTTGGGTTTGGGACCAAACCGCCTTGGCTTCCACTTCCCTTGCGAACTCGCGCCTCTTCCTCTGTAGAATGGGGCCAGGGAGAGTGTCCTACAGTGTGAGAATGAAACAGAACACTGTGTACAGTGCTGAGCAAGGCACCAGCCTCCCAGCCGTCCAGCGAGACAGCTGCTCTGATGTGAGCGGGCAGGTGACGGCTGGCCTCAGGCGGAGGGAGGGAGCAAGCCCCGTTTTGAAGGGGTGGGGGAAGAGGGGCAGATCCAGAGGGTGGCTGTAGTTCCTCCTGACCTGTGGGAGCCAAGAAATTGCCACGAGCCACCAATGTCGTTCTGGCAGTTGGGGAGTGTGTCTCCTGGACGAAAGAATGACTGTGTTTTGTGTAATGTCGCTTGAAGCTGTGGCTGTTGTCATACAAGCAGCAAGTTTACTGAGCACCTACTGTGTGCTGGGTAGAGTTACATGCCCAGAGGGGAGCTAGCAGGCCTGGCTCCACCTTCCTCCACGTTGCTGACGACAGGAGTTCCCCCCTCCATCTCACCCTAGGGCCTGTCCAGTCCCTGCTGGAAGATTCTTCATCACTGGGGCTCGGGGCCAGTTGGGATTTCCTGGACCTACACTGGCCCTGCGGTTGGAAGCCAAATGTTCCCCTGCATACTTGGCTTGGAGGTGGTGCTTGCGGGCAGTGTGGGCACCTGTTGCCTGAGGTGGAGTGGTCCTCAAGGGACACGGAGGGTGTGGTGTGTCAGCTCTTATGTCTTCCGGGGAGATGAGCCATGCATTTTGGAAGCAGCTGGAAAGTCCTCGGGGTCAGACTCTGATAGGAAGCTGTGCTAGGAGGGGAAAATTCCATGTATGTGTATGTGTGCATGTGTGTGTGTGTGTTAGAGCCAGGGGAAGGATTCAGAAGAGGTGAGAAACCAAGACAAGAGGTGAGATGGGAGTGGAAGCTTCTGCTTGGCTTTTCAAGTACTACTTGGGCCTGGCTCCGTGTAGGGCTGCAGACACTGGCTTGGGGCTTGGACGTGGCTCTGTGAGGTTAGCGGCTGGGAGGGCAGGTGTGTGGAAAGTGGTGACTCTGGTAGTGGAGCGGAAGTTCATTTCTGACGGTACCTTGCATGCATCCCCAGGAATATGCCCCCATGACCTCCCACATGGCAAAGGCTGGCCAGGTCCCAGGGTTTGTTCTCCAGCCAGCTCACCAACTGGGTGTTGTCCTAGCTGAGGGCGCAAGACTGGAGATGGGTAGGTTAGTGGCATCTTCAGCACCTTGGAGATTAGAGGGCTTTGGCAGCCAGAGCAGAGATGCCCAGGTAGCGGCAGTGGAGTCAGCTTGTTCAGGGAGTTCTGGCACCTCCGGGGTAACAGAGGACTGTGTGGTGAGATCCATTCTTGCAGGGTCTTGAAGGCCGAGGTGAGAAGTTGGGTCTGATTTTTGCAAAGAGCAGGAGGCCACAAAGGCTTTTCAGTTGGGGCTGCCATGATCAAGCAGTGTTTTGGAAAAAGCCCACGTGAGGTGCGCTGCTGTGTGGGAGCCATCAGTCATGGGACAAAGGCTGGGGCGGAGGGCAAGGGCTCCGGGTTGCTTCAGAGATGTCAGCCATTGGGAGCCGTAGGGCTAGAAGTGCAGCAGAGGCGGTGGAAGGGTGCTTTAGCAAGTGCCCTGTATTTCTTTCTAGTCCCACCCCAAGTCTAGCCCCTGATGTGCAGCAGAGCCTCAGGAAGGTGGTGGAATGGGCAAGTGTAGGGAGGGAGCCCCCTCCTCCAAGAAGTCCTCAATTCTTGCCTGTGAAGGTTAGGCACCTGGGCACTGGGCCTGGGAGCAAGGCGAATGGGAAGCAGTGAGAAGAGTTTCCTGGCCACAGGCCAACAGGGCAGAGGTGGGAGGCTGATCACATGGCAGCCGGGTAGTCAGGCAGGGGGGATTGGGTCCTCTCGGGCTCCTTTCTCCTGGGATCTCAGATCTCAGAGGCACAGCCCTGGTCCCCAAGGGTCAGACAGTCCCTTCCCATACACAGAGCTGGGCATACCCAAGCCCATCTGGCGCTGGCTGCCTTTAGTCACCCTCTGCACCCCACCACATGTGCCCCAGCTTGGGCTCAGCCTTGGCCTCTGCTCCGAACCGTTAGACCCACTTCCTCCACCCCACGGGAAGCTGGGGAGGTGGTTGTGATTTAATCAAGAGCATCAAACGGCCAGAAGCTGGCTCTGTGACAGGTGGGAAGGGCAGGGCTGGTGGGTCATGGGGCTTCTCTGTGGAACAGGACGGAGCTGTGGTAGGGGGCCTGGCTTCATCTCAACAGGAACTTCCCTGCCTACCTGCTTCCCATTCTCTGGGCCTGGGGCTGAGTGCCAGGAGGGGAAGCCCAGAACTAAACAGCGGCTGAGAGGAGTGGGCTGTGCTGTGTTTGCTGGGGAGGAGGGGCAGACCACAGAGTTGGGCCAAATTGGTGACTCCTGATGTGGGGAGGAGGGGTGGTGGTGGCTTGCCCTTGACTCACCCCTGGGGTTCCCCCCCTACAACCCGAGGCGGTGGTTTTTTGCCAGGCCTGATTCATTCTGACATGGAGGAGCAGCCGAGGGAGGAAAGAGCTAGAAGCTGGGGCTTGGAGTTAGTCCCCACTCTGCTGTCTGCACGCTGTGTGACCTCAGAAAAGCATCTTCCCCTCTCTGGGCTCCACTTGCTGATAGCCCGTTCTTTGCTCATCTCTTAGGAGGTGTGGATACCTGGAAGGTATCCTGTACAAAGCCAGGCACGTTGTGGGAATGCATACCTGTGTGTGCGCACGCACATCCAACAGTCTCCACACAGCGTGAAGCTGGCCAGCCTCCTGCCCGATGGGACTTGGTCCCGCCTTCGTCCCCTTCCCTCCACCACCCATACCCTGACCAACCCATGGATTAGGGAGACAAGAGGGAAGAATGGGGGATCCTGGCCTCAATCTCTGTACCTGTACATCGGGGACACACATGAGCATCATCTTCCAGGGTGGCACAGGAATAAAACACAGGGGCACCTGGGAAACACTCAGCATTTGTATCCCTGTTGCACAGGGAGTGCTTAGGATGCCAGAGCTCTTGTTTCTCCACCTGTTCCACCTGTTCTAGGTGTGTGCCAAGAAGCACATCCTCTGTGCCCCACTCTGCCATGTACTTGTCCTCTGAGCCAGCTGTATTGCTCTACCATATGTGAGATGTGTGAGCCCCAGATCATTGCTTGCAGTCCTGCTTGTGCCTGGGTCTCCCCAGGGTGACTAAGCTTCCTGAGAGGAAGTTAACATGAATGTGAACGTGAGGGTGGACTTTCCCAGGGCCCCTACCTTCCGCTCTTCCCCACTCTGAGCTGGTCTGTCGTAAGAACCTTCTTCTGTGGGCTGGCCTTTTTTTTTTTTTTAAGATTCTATTTGTTTTTATTGGAAAGTCAGTTGAACAGAAAGAAGGGGAAACAGAGACAAAGATCTTCCATCCGCTGGTTTATTCCTCAAGGGGCTGCAGTAGCTAGAACTGAGCTGATCTGAAGCCAGGAGCCAGTAGCTTCTTCCAGATCTCCCATGTAGGTGCATGGTCCCAAGACTTGGGCTATACATCCTCTACTGCTTTCCCAGGCCACAAGTAAGCAGCTGCATGGGAAATGAAGTAGCTGGGACGTGAACCGGCACCCATATGGGATCCTGGTGCTTATAAGGAGAGAATTAACTATGAACCATTGCACCGGGCCACTGGCTACTCTATGGTATACAGAGTGAAGCCAGATATCTGAATGTTAGATAATCCCTGGCACGGGTTCTGTTTCAGGGCAGACAGTTGAGAAACACTGATGATGTAAGTGACTTGCCGTGTGTGTGTGTGTGTGTGTGTGTGTGTGTGTGTGTGTGTGTGTGTGTGTCAGGGAGGATTCAGTCAGTCCCTGATACCCGGGGACTCCTGAATGGAGCTACCCTGTGAGGTCTAGGTGCCTCTCTGCCTTGCCCTTCAGCCTTCTCCATACTGGGCATGTCCTGGAAGCTGGCTCCAGCATGGTGGAAGTGGGTCACCTAGCCTAGGCTTACTCCACCTGTGAGTCGTGGCCTGTACCCTCCTGGGAAGGGAACAGCTCAGCTTCCTCCAGCCCCAGCCCATTGTCTGTGTGTGTCTGTGTGTGGTGTGTTGGGGGAGTGCTCTGGCCTTTAGTGAACCCTGACTTGACCAGAAAGGCCACCTCCACATCAGCAGTTGTTCTGGGAGGCTGGGGATGGGGTAGCAGGGAAGGGAGGAATGCAAGGTGCCAAGCCCAGCTCCATGTCTCTGAAGACCACTGAGTGGAAAGTTCTAGGATACAGGCTGATTGTGAAGACTACATCCCCTCCTGGGACCCCTTCCTGACTTTCCCTGCCAGGTCAAAGGGCAATCTGGTGTGGGAGCTGTATGGAGTTCTGGTCCTGGGTTCTTGAGGCCAATATGGAGGAGCAGACAGAGCAATGGGGATTGGTGGGGGTGGG